GTCGCCATATAGGACTGGCAACGTAATAAGCATTGCCGAGGAATGGCGAAGTACAGACGGTGGCAGCTCCAACCATGCTAAGACACTATACCGCATTTTGAGGGGATCAGTTGACGACCCGCTGATAAGCCGTTAGTCTGAAAGTTTGTACGGCAGCAAATTCAAAATAAATGTTATCTATCCGACGTAGATGAATTTGTATTTAGAACTGATATACAATTATTGCTGGTTCCAAGCGGTAAGAAGGATGCTACGGTGCGCCCATCGTTTCCAACTGCGCCGTTCCGCCTGTCCAAAGAAAGGCAGCGATCAGTAAATAAGGTCACTTTCTTTAAACCTATAATAGTTGCAGCATTATTTTCTTATTCTCAACCTCGAAACTTTCTATAATGCTTACTTTTCTGGCTCACAATTTAAAAGCATTGAATTTTTAACAAATTTCATGCGTGAAATTATGATTTCTCTTACTCTGATTGTTTTTTTTTTTTTTATTTTCTTATGTTGTTCATTTGCAGAATATTATATTACTACCCGACCCTGCAGTTGTGCAGATTGCGGGTGTTGAGTTTGCTGTCTCGGCGTCAGAAATCATCCAGCGTTTGGGGAGAGAGCAGATAAGCTGCTCTGGAAATAAAGAGAACGAAGATCGTATGACTTGTCTTGTCAACGAGCTGTTCAGGTACCAATAAAATTACAAACAGTATTTAGGCTTGCAACAAGCCATCAGAGATTAGCTTCTTTTGGCATACATGCGGTGAGCCGTTGCATCCAACTCTGAGCGGATAGTTGCGATCTAATCGCCTTATCGACCTACACTTGGTGCTAATGTCCATTTGACTTTCGAGAATGAAATTTTTAGAAATTTCGTCATTTACGAAAAGCCAATCCGCTAACACAGTTTACACAAATTGCCTGTCAGAATGGAGATTTGTTTGTTGTTGGTGTGTTGTTTTCACAGTAGCAATGCAGAAACCCATGCTTCAAATTTACCAGCGAGCAAACCACTGCATCTATGATTCGTTGAATTATTTCAGTGGTAAAATGGTACTAAGACGTGCCATAAAATCAGAGTCGTCTTCAGCTTGAGTTCAAAACATTCTCAAGAGAGGGAGAGAGCCTTTCATAGTTTTCCTTGGGTACAAGCGGCAGCAACAGCAATGGGGCAGCAAGAGCAATAGCAGCAGCAAGAGCAGGAGCAGTTGCACGAGCAACAGCAGCAGTGGTAGCATTAGCAGTAGCAAGAGCAGCAGGACAGTGGCAAAAGCGGGAGTAACGAAGGCAACAAAAACAGCAGCAGCTCGGCTATTCTAAAATGGTTGAATTTCTGGATGTCATTATTCTTGAGATTTTCAAGCTACCTCTTAATTTGGACTGTAAGAATTTGTGTCTGTTGCAGGCAGCGGTCGCTCTACCCGTTGTATCCATCATCTGCTGATAT